TCCTTTGACTCTCAGTCTGTTTTTGTCCTTGTGTGTAAGGTGTGTATTTCTCTTGCAAGCAGCATATTGATGGATCTTGTTTTTTTATCCATTCTGTCACTCTTTGTCTCTTCACTGGTGCATTCAATCCATTGACGTTCAGTGTAATTATCGATAAGTATGTGTTGATTACTGTTATGTTACTTTTTTGGTAGTGGTGTTTGTTCTTTGGTTCTGCTTTCCTTCTTGTATTGGGTTTGTGTTTTTTTGAGTTGATTCTGGTTGGTTTCTTCCTAGTTTCTTTGTTCATTTGTTCTGTTTGGGAATTCGTCTTCTTGATATGTTGTGGGGTGTTAACTTTCTTTGGGGTTACCTTGTAGTCTACTAGCTTTTCTCTGCATTTAGGGTCTCCATTGCAAGATGTGAGTTACCTGGTCTCTACCACCTGGGCTTCTGTTGTTGCATTTGTCCCTTCTTTGACTTTGATATGTTTATGTCCTTCAGTTGATCTCTGGGCTTTCTTGAGTTTGTTGTTGTAGTCTCATTCCATTCTGGTCTCTGTTTTCTGTTGGCTGTGTTCCAGTTGGTATTGCCATACTTGTCAGTCTCTGTTTGTCATCTCTTCTTGTTGGTTCTCTGTCCACAGAACTCCCTTTAGGATGTTTTAAAGTGCTGGGTTGGTTTTGATAAATTCCCTCAGAGTCTGTTTATTCTGGAATGTTTTGATCGCACCATCGTATTTGATTGATAGTTTTGCTGGATAGACGATTCTTGGTTGACAGTTTTTTTCTTGCAGGGTTTTGTATATGTCTCCCCATTGCCTTTTTGCCTGTGTTGTTTGTTCTGAATAGTCAGCGCTTAATCTAATTTGTTTGCCTTTATAGGTTATGTTTCTCTTCTCCCTGGCTGCTTTTAGTATTCTTTCCTTGTCTTTGGTTTTGGAGAGCTGGATTATTGTATGTCTTGGAGACTTTCTTTTGGGATCTATCCTTCCTGGGGTATGCTGGGTTTCTTGACTGTTTATCTTCTTGTCTTTCAGGATGTTAGAGAAGTTTTCTTCCAGAAGCTCTTCAACTATTTCCTCTGTGGACTTCTTTGATTCTTCTTGTTCTGGGACGCCAATCATTCTTACATTGTTCCTCTTCATGTTATCCAGCATGAATCTTAGACTGTCTTCAGATTGTTTTATCCTTTTAACTCTTTGCTGTTCTATCTTGGCAGTATTGAGAGATTTGTCTTCCAGCTCACTAGTTCTGGCTTCCATCTCTTCTAGTCTGCGCCTTTCCCCTTTCAGGCTCTTGTCTATTTCTGATATCTTATTATTGATCACCTGGACATCTTTTTGCAGGTTTTGAATTGTTTCCAATGCTGTGTCAATCCTATTAGATTGTTCCTGCAGTACTTTCCTTACTTCCTCCTTATTTTCCTCGACCCCTTTTCAGAGTATTTGAATTTGTTTCCATATCATACTTCTGAATTCCCTTTCAGGCATATCCAGAACCCGCTCCTCCTCCTCTATAAATCTTTTGTCTGTCTCCAGCTCATTTGCATCTGCTGGCCTCTTCTGCTTTTGGATGTGTTTCGATAATGGTAATTGTTTCTTGTTGGGCATTATTATTATTGTTTTATTGTAATTATTATTAATATGATCAGAAGATAGGTGTCCCTTGCAGTCTGTGCCGTCTGGCCGCCGTGGCAAACCGGAAGTCCCCACCATTTCTATTTGAACACATGGGAGAAATAGGTTCAGAAGTTGTCTAACTTGATGAAAGTGTAGACCTGGAGTTTGTATCTAAGTGTGCTTGATCCAAGCTTTTACTTTTCAGTAATACAAGTTGACATCAAAAAGCTTGTGGAAAATGGAATTGAAAGATAATGAGATTTTCCTACAAATTGCTTGAAGCTCTTCATTTTGTTGTTGTTGTTAAGTGCTGTCAAGTCAGTTCTGACTCATAGGATTTCTGAGGAGAAAGCAGCTGGTGAGTTTGAACTACCCACCTTGTGGTTCAAACTAACTTTGCAGTCCTGTGCTTATATTTTGTTGTTAGTGCCTTCAAGTCAATTTCAACCCATAGCGACCCTGTATAGGAGGGTTTCCAAGGAGCAGCTGGTGAGCCTGAACCACTGACTTTGCAGTTCAAACGACTTTGCAGTCTGATGCATTAGTCCACAGCGCCACCTTACAGCTCCTCATTATAATCATTAATAATAGTAATCAGTAATTGTAATAATGACTGAAACTCCTGTTTACATATGAAACATTGAGTACTTGCTATATGATAGGGCTTGTTTAAAAAATTTTTTTTAAATGTTTTATTGTGAATTATGTGATAGCTTACATGGGAGAACATTACTTTTACATTCATCCTATCGTATATTGTTTCATTGCCATGGCTGCATTCCCCTCCATGCATCATCAACCAACCAAAGGGTATATACTACAAACCTGCCCCCCAGTCATCAGCACACAGCCCCTCTCCCTCTCTGTGTCTAAAGTCCCCAGCTGCTCCATCTTTCCACGTCATTGTCTCTGCCTCCATCTCAGGCATCACTGCTTCTCTGGGTAGGGTCCTGCTCTCTGCTCTTCTCCCTTGATGGTCCCAGGGACCTTCGCTTCTAGACTGAAAAATTAATCACTCCCCTCCTTGCTACAAAATGTCTGTCTTCTTTACATTTCCAACCCTCACAAGCAGTCCTGATAACAATTATTCACCATTGTATCACAAGAGACCTGTCCACATTTCATTTCATCAGCCCCGCCTAGACAGATTGTGTACTACTCAGTGGAGATTCTACTTTCCTCCATGCCCTCTGGATCTGGGTTCCCTCTTGGAAGCTTGTAAGCCAGTCACTTCTTGCCTTTGTAGCCCCCACTTTGGGTAGCCAATGTCCAAGGGGCCCATCCTTGTCTACTCTGTGTATGGAGGGGGTGGGAATGATCCTTGCTGTAAGGATTTGTTTCCTCTTTTGAGCTACTGCATCCATAGGTGTAGGTCAAGTTCATAAAATTGTATCAGATTACTCTTTTTTTTACCTCTTCTTTCTTCTTCTAGTTGTAAAAGACATGTGTTAGAAGTTAGGTGCCAAATGCTAGGTGAGACAGGAAGGGAAGCTTGTCCCCTAAGTGATTTCTTGTTTCATAATCTAAATTGCTTCACAGATAGTTGCCAATGCACACTGTTTCTTTGTAGAGGTACCATGCTACATGGATAGGGTGAGGGATAAACAGCTATCCATCTCTTGTCTAGCTTTGAACTTATGAAGTTAAGCACTAGTCTTAGTAGTTGTTGACACAGTGGCTGCAACAACGTAACAGTGATTGTGAGGATAGTGCAGGACTGGACAGTGTTTCATTATTTTGTACATAGGATTGCTATAAATTGGCACCAAACATGATGGTGCCTAACAATAACAACATATACAAGGGGGCTTCAAAATGTTCTTGGAAACATTCCATTATCTTTTCATGCCATTTTTTGCCCCTGAACTTTTTGAAGCCCATTCATGTATAAAATGAGACCTGTATTATTATACAGGTGAGATACCTTAAAAATAGTTTTTACTAAATTGTAAATAAAAGCTGGTTTAGGCACAGTGCCAGGTTTTTATGGGAATAAACGTAAAACTAGCAAGAATACTAAAGAATGTTATTAGAGGAATTGTTTTGCCCCAAACTTAAATAAGGCCCCAGGAATGTTCAAATTTGACTCTTCCAAGTTATGTATTTAACTTCCACAGTGCATTCTCATGCATTCGGCTGTGAGCTATGTCTGATTAGTAGAAATTATAAGATTTTCAGACAATGTTACAGAATAATCAGCAACCCATAATTTGCTCACGATTCTTTGTTAGTCAGATATCTTATAGTTGTCTCTGTGATGAACTGCAGCACTTATTCAGACTAAAAATAACAGGAGTTCCGTGTGCTGTAGGTCCCAGGAGGTCTTGGTGTTTTTGTAGACAGCAGACAGAAATAAAAGGAATTTTGTCCTTTTTACCTCATGTAATCCCAGTGGAAAATGAAACATGTGCTGTGAGTTGATATCGATTTATGCCAGGTCATTTCCCTAAAGAGTCTCAGGCAAGCACTGTTGCAGCATTTCTTGGACAGCATTCTGACGGCCTTTGAATGAGATGGATCATTTATGGGACTAGCTACCGTGAAACACTGAGCTACTGTCTGTCCCCAGACAAGTCTCATGAGGAGTTCCTCGTGTACCCTGGATCTGTCACTTTAACTCTTTCAGTGGGGGTTAGATACACTTTACATACCTAAAGCCTAGAGGCAAATTGAAACCAACTTTTTTGTAATGGTTGTCTATGATAGTGCTGTTGGATCAGCACTGGACTGTGAATCACAAGGTTGGCAGTTCAAACCCACCAGCTGCTTCCTGGAAACCGTATACAGGGTCGCTATGGGTCAGAACTGACTTGAAGGCACTTAATAACAAAACAACAAATAATGACACCGCATATGTTTCAGAACTGTATTTTGGGTGTTAAATAACATAAACACTTTTGTTGCACTGTATTTGCTAGAAAATGTTTGGAAACCACAAAGCCTTTTTAATGGGCAACTCTATCAATTTTCTGCTCTTCTAAGGAAGTTTTTCCTCTTCATGACTCATTTCACTCTTTGGCTAACATTGAGGGAAATGTAATATCGAGTAAGAAAAGGAATGTATGCTCTTTATTTTTTTGAAAACTTGTATACATTTTATGCCTCAGGCTATGTAAACTTGGATGACTGTTGAATGTTGACAACTGTGGAAGGTAAAACTACCTTGTTAATACAAATGTCTTTGGAGTTAAAGACCAAAAAATAAATGTATGTATACACACACATCTCTCAACATTTCCTTTGCTTCTTTAGAGAAGTACTTTATTTGATGGCCCAGAATACAAACCCTGTAATAAAAACAACGACATGTTCCACGGTGTCATTTACACACACCTTAAGCGAAGTTAATGAGATCACCCTCAGATTACACTTTGTGTTTTGTTTTCATTTTATAGGTCTGTATGAGCTGTTGGCTGCTCTGCCAGCCCAGCTGCAGCCACATGTGGATAGCCAGGAAGACCTGACCTTCCTCTGGGAGATGTTTGGTGAAAAGAGCCTGCATTCACTGGTGAAGGTAAACCATGCTGATGTCAGCTCCTCTTTCAGAAAAAAACATACGGAAAAATATTTTGAGCGTCCTCTAGTAAACCAGAGATCAAATTGTTGCTGCCTGCAAACAAAACACCCTTGTTTCATTTCACTGACAGGGTGTGGAAGTTGTTAAAAGATTCCACCACAAATACAGAGATGATTTCACTTAATGGGGGTGATTTGGCTGTGCATACTAATGCAGCAAACATGTGCTCTCCCTTGTTGAGAAAAAAGAATATGAAAGAGTAGCAGGAAGGTTTTAGAATGCTTTACAGTCACCATTTCATGAACTGGAATTTAACTTAAACAAATAAATATGCAAAAGCAAAAATCAGAAGGCATATGCTTTCTGAGGTCAAAGATGGCAGCAGTTCTGTAGCCACATTCATTTAAAATAATTTCCTTTAACAAAGTCAACTGAAATTCTAGTAAGCTGTTTCTTTTATTGGCATGTCTCCACTGAAGTGATGTTTTGTATATAAATACATCAACACTAAATGCAAGTAAAAACAGCTTTTGGTGGGGGTTTTAGTGAAGGAAGACTCATGCCATGAAAATGATCAACCACCAGAAATCAGGTTTGCCACAGAAGCAACACGGGGAGTGATTCCTTGAAGTAGCAAAATGGGCACAAGAAACTTACTGGAAAAAAATGCCTCTCTTGGTTCTGGAGATATGAACTGCATTTTCTTTCATTTAGCTCTAGATGAAGGGAATTTAGAGGTGTCTGGACATATTGTCAGGGGGGACCAGTTGCTGGAGAAGGATATCATAGTTGGTAAGGTGCAGGGTCAGAGAAAAAGAGGAAGGTTCCCTCCCACCCCCACCCTCCAGCAAGATGGATTGGCAAAGTGGCAGCATCGGTGGACTCAAGCATGGCAACAGTAGTGAGGTTGGCTCAGGATTGAACAGTGTTTCATTCTGCTGTGCATAAGGTTGTTATGAGTCGGTAATGACTTGATGGCACCTAACAACAACACCAACACTTAATTTAGCTAAATTTGTTACAGTTTTCTGCCCTGATAAGAGGCTTTTAATTGATGTGTAGTTTTTAGAGGACCGCCATCGAGATGGATTGGCACAGTGACAGCAGCAGCTGGCTCAAGCTTAACGATTGTGAAGATGGTGCAGTGTTTAGTTCTATGGTACGTACACAGGTTGCTCTCAGTCAAAATCGACAAGATGACACCTAGTAACAGCAGCATTTTGAAATAAGCAACTTCTTAGTTGCAGTTGCTTCATAGAACAGGAGAATTCCTACTACAGTTTTCCCTGTTGGCCCAAAATTTGTTTGTCTCAAGCACTGAGAACTTTCAATAAGTGAAAGTATTGATATGTGGCATATTCCTAGTATTTCATTTAAAGACCAGATGGTTTTGTTTGCTTATCATTGTTATTATTGTTGTTAGGTGTCATCAAGTTGGTACCGACCCATAGCGACCTTATGCACAGCAGAACAAAACACTGCCCAATCCTGAGCCAACCTCAGTTTTGTTGCCATGTTTCAGACCAATCCATCTCACTGGGGGATCTTCCTCTCTTTCTCTGTCCCTCCACCTTACCAAACATGATATCCTTCTCCAATGACTGGTCCCTCCTGACAATATGTCCGAAGTATGAGAGACGAAGTTTGGCCATCTTGGCCTCCAAGGAGTGCTCTGGCTGCACTTCTTCCAACATAGATCTGTTTGTTCTTTTGGCAGCCCATGGCACTTTCAATATTCTCCTCCAACACCATAACTCAAAAGCATCAATTCTTCCACGGTCTTCTTATTCACTGTCCAGCTTTTGCATGCATATGAGGTTATTGAAAATACCATGGCTTGAGGCAGGTGCACCTTAGTCCTCAAGTTGACATCTTTGCTCTTCAACACTTAAAAAAGGTTTTGTGCAGCAGATTTGCCTAATGCAATAATACATCATTTGATATCTTGAATGCTGCTTCTGTGAATGTTGATAGTTGATCCAAGAAGAATAAAGTCCTTGACAACTTAAATCTTTTCTCCATTGATAAGAATGTTGTTTATTGGTCCAGTGGTGAGGATTTTTGTTTTCTTGACATTGAGATGCAATCCATACCGAAGGCTGTGCTCTTTGATCTTAATCAGTAAATATTTTAAGTCCTCTTCACTTTCAGCAAGCAAGGTTGTACCATCTGCATATCTCAGGTTGTTAACGAGTCTTCCTCCAATCCTTATGCCATGTTTTTCTTCATAGAACCCAGCTTATCGAATTATTATTCTTATAACAGTGTAATTGCCAAGGTGTTTGTGAGAAATGGTCTTTCATTATAATTGATCATGTTTGACTTTGTGAGGCAATAAAGAATAATTCCTATTGAAAGTATGCAAGTTGAACAGTTACAGATTTATTTGATCTTTTGATAGCAGACAGAAAATACATTTAGAGTTGTTTTTTCACTCCTTAATAGGCAGACCCCAAAATAATGGAGGCTTATTTGATTGTATTTATAAGTTAGTATCATTCTTAGTTTCCTACCTTATATAAAATGGAAACACCAGTTGGTAAGGTTGTTTGGGAATTTCAAATACAGTAGTAAAGATCTAAGTTATTTTATAGATGCTGTGTGCTGTTGATTCATTTTCGACTCATAGTGAGGCTATGTAGGGTTTCTGAGAGTGGCTGGTGTGTTTGAACTGCTGACCTTGTAGTTACCAGTCCATTGCTATGTTACAGCACCACATCAGGGCTCTAGACAGATATAAATTGGCATTATTCAACATTGAGGAAAAAGTTAGCTATCATAGCCTATAAAGGATTGAAAGTACCTAGAGAGATGGCTGTTATTTCATTAAAGGCATAGAGATCAATGTGTAAAAAATTCTTAGCTATATTTGCTTTTGAGTTTTAAACCTAGACTTTTTATCCCCCAAAGTATATGTTTAGGAAGTATACTAGAGGCAATAGGTATCTGGCTTTATAAAAACATTGAAGGAAATAAACTGATGCTGCCAGTATTTATATAGCGTGATAAGACATTACTGTTGCAGATGTTCTCAGTAATTGCTATAAGATGTACTTTTCAAATTAGTTTTATTATGTAACTCTGGTATAGTCTCAATTTCTTCATAGTTCTCCCAAATCCCAAACTTTTATCACATGGAGATCTCAAGTGTCGTTTGACCCATTCTGTTAGTTTTCAAATACGTGAAGCTTAAAATGACTCCAGAATCCCAGCTCATGAGCTTGATCATAGCTTTAAACAGCTGAAACAAACTGCTTAGCTGTATTCCAAGTGCCTCTATTTAAGGATGGATGAGACAAGCCTTAAGCTATTCTGCATAAGTCTTAGAGCAAAAGGAATTTGTTTGAAAGGTTGAAGAGTGAATGAAAATGTGCATTGGACTTTTGCTCTTTTGCCTACACTTGAAGCTGTTGATATTGTTTTAGAACTGGGTGAACACAACACTTTACTTCATTCTAGCATGGGATTTTCATAGTTGTCACTTTTTTTGTGTGCTTAAAGGTGGGGGAGGGTTTGTTAAATCACCACCTTTTTAAGTAAATGGAAGTAAACTTTTTATTTAATAAGGAACCCTGGTGGCATAGTAGTTAAGCACTTAGCTTAACTGGTAACTGAAAGGTTGATGGTTCTAACCTAGCAGCAGTTCCATGGAGAAGATGTGACAGTCTGCTTCTATGAAGATATGTAGTCTTGGAAACCTTGGAGGGCAATTCCTGCTGTGTCATGTAGGGTAGCTATGAGTGGGAATTGATGGCAGTAGGTTTGTGGTTTGGTTTTCTTCTGTCTAATGTAAAGTATTCTGAAGAAGAGGCAGTGTTGAAATTTCAGTCTAGGTGAAAGCATGCCACCTAAGATATAGAGCTGGCAGAAATACTATAGGTGTGAGTATGGCTCACCACTCAACTTATCAGTTTGTTGTACTGTAGTAGCTGTGATTCTGGAAGCTATGCCACGGGTATTTTAAATACCAGCAGGGCCACTGATGGTCGATAGGTTTCAGATGAGCTTCTAAATGAAGACAGACTAGGTCAGTCACTGAAAACTTTATGAATAGCAGTGCGTCACTGCCAGCACCATATTATTACATATTGAAATATGATGAAGAGCACCAGAATATTGTCAGATATAGGGCCAAAAGATGAGCACTTCAAGTTGGAAGGCACTCAGAATATGACTGGGGAAGAGCTGACTCTTCAAAGTAGACTTGTCGCTGATGACACAAATGGAGTAAAGCCTTCAGGGCCTTCATTTGCTGATGGGGTACAACTAAAAATGTAGAGAAACAGCTGTAAACATCCTTTAATAATCAAAACATGGAAGGTATGAAGTATGAATCTAGGAAAATTGGAAATTTTCAAAACATGAAATGGAATGCATAAACATTGAGTGAGCTGAAATGGATTGGTATTAGCCATTTAGAACCTGACAGTCACATGGCTTACTATGCTAGCAGTGACAAATTGAAGAGAAATGGCATCATTCATCTTCAAAAAGAATACATCAAGATCTATCTTGAAGAATAATGCTATCTGTGAGAGAATAATATCCATATGCCTACAAGGAAGACCAGCTAATGCCACTATTATTCAAATATATGCACCAACCACTAAAGCCCCACCACTCTTCTGTCAGTTTGTCATACTGTGGTGGCTTGTGAGTTGCTGTGATTCTGGAAGCTATGCCACTGGTATTTTAAATACCAGCAGGGTCACCCATGGTGGACAGGTTTCAGATGAGCTTCCAAACGAAGACAGACTACGAAGAAGGAGTGACAAACTACTT